AGCTAATTTTACCAGATTTTCAAAAATAACTATTTCAAACGGTAGCTTTATAGAAAAATAGTTATAAATGAAAAAAAAAAAAAAGTTTTATTTGATGATGAAATCATCCATGTTGGCAGAATTTTCAGATTTCCTAAATAAATATGAAGTTTTAAGTAACATGATTACTACAAGGAAACTGATCCTTACAGAGAGAGAGACACACACACACACGGAGAGAGAGAGACACAGAGAGAGAGACATACACACGCACGGAGAGAGAGAGAGAGAGACATACACACGCACGGAGAGAGAGAGAGAGAGACATACACGCACGGAGAGAGAGAGAGACACACACACGCACGGAGAGAGAGAGAGAGAGACATACACACGCACGGAGAGAGAGAGAGAGACATACACACGCACGGAGAGAGAGAGAGAGAGACATACACACGCACGGGGAGAGAGAGAGAGAGAGAGAGACATACACACGCACGAGAGAGAGAGAGAGAGACATACACACACACGGAGAGAGAGAGAGAGAGAGAGACATACACACGCACGGGAGAGAGAGAGAGAGAGACATACACACGCACGAGAGAGAGAGAGAGAGACACACACAGTGTGAGACACACACACAGAGAAACTCACACAGACTCAGAGAGAGACGCACAGAGACTCACACAGACTCAGAGAGAGAGACACACACAGACTCAGAGAGAGAGACACTCACAGAGAGAGACACACACAGACTCACAGAGAGAGAGAGACACACACAGACTCACAGAGAGAGAGACACACACACAGACTCACAGAGAGAGAGACACACACTCACACACAGACTCACAGAGAGAGAGACACACACTCACACACAGACTCACAGAGAGAGAGAGACACACTCACACACAGACTCACAGAGAGAGAGAGAGACAGACTCACAGAGAGAGAGATACAGACTCACAGAGAGAGAGAGACACACACACACAGACTCACAGAGAGAGAGAGATAGAGAGAGAGAGACACATACACAGAGACTCACACCGACTCACAGAGAGAAACACACACACACAGAGACTCACATCAACACATACACACACAGAGACAGAGACAGACAGACACACAGGGAGACAGACAGACACACAGGGAGACAGACAGACACACAGAAGAAATTTATAGGACTCATATGGAAAGAGGGCGTGGAGAATCGACACTCAAAGGATATTGAAAGCAAGCGAAGCGAGTAACCTATTTAATAATGTGTGTCAATGTTTAGCAGAATAGAGAAAATTGACAAAGTGATCATTTTGAGCAAGAAAAAGCAGGAAGCTCTTAAAAGGCAATGATCACGCGCATCTTGAAAGAAGTTGTCATAATGCTAGTACGACGTAATAGGCCTACGTTGTTTAAATCTTAGATGAGTTATTGTCATTTAGGCAAACATCCACCTTCGTGCCTGCAATAAGAAGGGGTGTCAAATTGGCAGTTTTTTCCCATGACACTGCTTTTATTCTGTTTTAACTCATTTTTACCTTCACTCTTCAGGAATGTTTGTTTCAAAAAGAGATGATTAGAATTGTAATAAAGGCTAAACATATAAAAGTGAATTTATACATTTTCTTTGTTTTTAAGAATTGACAACAAAAATAAACCATTTATTAGATTGCCTATTGTTATACTAGATCATACCTATTCTATTGTAAATAGACTCTCCCACAGATAATAAGTAGTAGTAGCAGTCGCCAGTTGGGCTCAGTGGAGTTGAGTGAGTGAGTCGATGTCGGACATTGAAGTATCAATCACCACAACTAGATTGCTGCGTCATTAACTATTATTGCAAGTTTCTAACGTTTTGTACGTCGAACCTAATTTAGGACCGAAGTGAAATACAAGCCTCCACTGTGAAAACTACTCTACAACACCTATTTAGACTATTATATTATTTATTGGAATGCTTGGCAAAACATCGGCTAATTGTCAATGACCAATCTTTAAAAAAATGGTAAAGCATTTCCTTATTTTAATAATTTAGTAAATATTTATAGATAAATAATTATTTTCATATTTTTTATAGATTGTTTTGCATTAGTTCTAATTGTATTAGGTTTTAGATTGTAAATATAAAATTATTCCTGTAAATAAACACATAGTGTTTACTATTTTTTTTGTAAATTCTGAAGAACAAAAAATAAGTAAATTCATTGTCATCATATGTTTAGGTTTTATAAGAATTGTAATCATTGCTTTTTAAAATAAACATTGCCAAAGAGTAAAGGAAGATAAAAGTATTGCCACGATAAAAACAGTCTTGTTAAAACTCCGTGCTTTTTGCGAGCACAAAGACCCGTGTTTACACTCATTTATTCATTTTCGAACTCACATTTATATCAAGTGCTTAGCGCTTATAAAACGGAAGCGCCTTCAGTCGATTTAATTTATTAGATCAAGCAGTGTCTACTATCGAGCAGCGTAGTGACCAGGTCGTCGTTTTCACCGTCAAGTAAGCAGTAAGTGTCGGATAAAAGTAGGTTGTGATAAAATTAAAGATCGTATATCATCATTCCAAACGTATTTAACACGTACTTGATGATTGGGATACAGAAACCAACTAGCAGTTCCCCTCTTGATGTTGTCGGTCACGACTGACGTTATTTTGAAGACGCCATGATTTTTTTTTTTTGGGGGAGGGAACGAGTATGGTGGTTTCCCGTTACCTTCTCCGCGGTTTTACATTCAGAGTATTCCTTCTCTAAAACTGTCCAAAGAGCCCATTCTGCCATACTATTTAACCCATAGATGGGGGAATGAGAATTTTTTCCCCAAGGGCATAGTGTTTACTCACATATCTATGTACCTAATTGTCCGATTTACCTTATGTCATCTTCAATGTGCCATGTGCCTTCAAGTCGTTGGTAATCATGGTCGTCTACAAGTGTATCTGTTGCTCTAATTAACCCTAGAACACTAACCATCAATTAAAGTCACACCACTACTAACCATGGGTATATTATACCCGATTTTAAAAATATCAAATAAAATATTAAATATAAATCTTTATTTGAAATATTTTACATGCAGACACTGCAAACGTTGTCCTTTGAGTTTACATTAATACGAACTGAAAAAAACATTATTTAGGAAATCATTTAAGAAAATCCGGTACTGAAAATCGTAATTAAAAATATGAAAATTTGAGTTGGGTACTATATACCCATGGTTAGTGTTCTAGGGTTAAATTGTCTTTTAGCTATTTCTTCTAAACCATTGTTCTGCCATCCATTTGCATTAGTTAGGCAGCTTATGCAGTGTTCTCTTTTGCACCTCTTGCCTTCAATGTCCTGTGAGTGTCAAATTTTCCAAACACTCTTTCCTCATTAAGTGTGCTAGAAATTTTAACTGTTTCTTATTTGATAAAATGTGGCCTTTTTGTTTTCTTTTATTCTTTTGTATAGCCACATTTGTTGCCTCAAGTCTCTTAGACATATCGCTGACGTATTAGAGTAGACATAACATTGTTTAGTTGTTCAAATATCGCCAAACAATGAGATCATTCGTATAAGAACAGTGTTATTTAAACGAAACGATTTAGAGAAACAGTCGTAGTTCCCAGCCAGACAATGATACGAGTTAAAATTTTACTGGTCAAAAATAATAATGCTTCTTAGAATGTCGATCAATTTAAGACTTATATCTTAATATTAGTTGTAAAAAAATAACTCAAAATTGAATTATAAAGCCTTAAAACTAGTGAACCTATAATTTTGCTATTTCTTGCTCAATGCAAGGCTCAAAGGTTTTTCAAAATAGTGGGTTTCTGAATGAGCTTGTATGAATTTAAGTAAAGTTAACATATACAGATTATTTGGTTATGAAGGATAGGAATCTGTCCAAATGAACCTATTTTTACCAATAGAAGAAGGAAATGAGACTGGTTCTGGTTTGTTTGCATATCAACACCTCAATGGGTCATTTAATGCCGATTAATTAATTTTTTCCTCAAAAATGTATAGTTGGTAATGTTAATTAAAAAAATGTATTGCAGTAATATTTTTTTTCAAAAACGTATTGCTGGTAATAGTTTCTCTTCTTCAAAAATTTATTTCTGGTAATAATTTAAAAAAATATATTTTTGGTATTAAAACCTAGTTTTACACTTTCATAATGCGTTTTATCTCAGTTTCGGGGTTAACTATTTGCCCATAGCTGAAAACCCTAACAAGTGCTACCACCCTAGGTCAGGGCGGACCTGGGAAACACCAGCAATTAAGAGGTGGTTCCACGCTCCTCAAAACCACCTGATCAGAGGCCTTGCTGTTGGACGTAGTTTATCGTCATACCCCGGACGCGGGTGTAGTTTATCGTCATACCCAGGACATGACTGGTTTTAGCTCTCAAGGTCATAACTAGTGCAACTAAGTATTTTAACTCATTAAAACTCTTTCTTTGGAAATATCCATATATTAGCGATAGGATTGTAACGTTGCACCTGTGGAAAAAGTGACGGTAGGGGAGAAAATAATTATTTGCTTACAAGGCCCTGTAAACACTTTTGAATTCTGTTCAGGCTGTAAGAGAGAATTGGACATTCCCGGGTCAGATATGACAGCAATACTTTACTTTTAGGTTCGATCAGACCCTTGAAAATATAGTACATGATAGGCGTAGTCAGGGACTTTCTGGGCCGGGATAAGGTGCTGACTACTTTCCTAACGTCTGTAGACGTGGATCTTATGCGTTTATCTTGAGCTCTAATTGACGCTCGAAGTAACGTGCGGCTCCGAGGGGTAAACAATATTACATGGAGTAAATAGATCAAAGTAAATGTAGATATAAATGTCATTGTTTCTCAATAGGCAGACGTGTAAGGCGTCGTCCATGTAAGACACGGTTCTAAAGGAATGGAATGCTTGTAAAAATCAGAGGCTATTTATTTTTGAGACATTCTACTTGTCTAAGAAGCAAGGAATGTAAAAACGGTTTCAGGGTTGTGATAAATAGAACATAAATAAGATCAAATACAAACATTAGCATAACAAGAGTGAAGCATTTAAGAAATGTGGACAACGTATTACTTCCTGTATGTGTGCGTGTGAGAGAGCGCGCGCGAGAGAGAGACGGAGAGAGAGAGAGCGTGAGAGAGAGCGAGATTGGGAGAGAGAGAGCGCACCCGAGAGACAGACAGACAGAGCGCGCCTGAGAGAGAGAGAAAGAAAGAAGAGAGAGAGAGAGACAGACAGCGCCCGAGAGAGAGAGACAGACAGACAGACGGCGCACCTGAGAGAGAAAAAGACAGACAGAGAAAGACAGTGGGGAGACAGACAGACAGAGACAGACAGACTGAGCACGCGCGCGAGATAGACAAACAGAGCGCGAGAGAGAGAGAGACAGAGAGAGCGAGAGCGAGAGACAGACTGAGAGAGCGAGAGACAGAGACAGAGAGACAGAGACAGAGAGACAGAGACAGACAGACAGAGAGAGAGACAGACAGACAGACAGAGAGAGAGAGAGAGAGAGAGAGAGAGAGAGAGAGAGAGAGAGAGAGAGAGAGACAGGAGAGAGAGACAGGAGACAGACAGGGAGACAGGAGTGCGAGAGAGAGAGAGAGAGAGAGACAGACAGACAGAGAGAGACAGGGAGACAGACAGAGCGAAAGGGAATTTCAAATCACTCAACTGCTTTCCATAAATATGGAAAGATGAGAAAATCCTTAAATAAGTATGAACTTTGAGAATCCAGTGACACTCGGACGGAAGGTAGGAAATTACCGTTATGGCCGTATATAGCCAGGCCTGATAGTTGTCATTCTCAAATTGCCAATTGTGAGTCACAGTAAGACTGGACGGAGTTCTCTCTGGCCGAAAGGGAAGACATGATCGTGAGATAAGACAAAAGTAGCAGCGAAGAGGTTCCAAAATAATGTCAGGTAAAGTGGTTTATGAATAAAGAACCCTGTTTATAGGAACCGATGCCTTTTTCTTTCTCAGCAAGGCGATATCTCGCGACGGTCGTATTCAAGAATTTTCACCTTCAGTTCAAATCAACCTACCTTTCCCCAGTTGTGATCACGCCGACGTAAACGGGAAGTGGAACCACGGCGAAGGGGGAAATCTAAACTCGCCCAAATCTCAGTAGGAATTGCCACCTGTCAGTCCATAAGCACCTCCACATATCGAAGCCTTCTATCAATAGTACGAATAGCGAGACCTCTTTCATAGCCTTATAGCACTTGGGGGTGGGGGTCACCCATTTGATCAGGCCTCGGGGCTTATCTTTGATGATCGAACGAGAACCAGTATTTCAACGTTTCATAGACGTAACAGAAGCCGTTGAAAACTATCCGTGGAATCGAGGCGTATAATTGTAAATAAAGAAAGAAACCAGTATATTGATCGTATCAAACCGAAATTCTTCATTGCCGTTTCTGTTTTGAAGAGGAAAGAAATAACGCGCAGTTGCTTGTTTCGTTTTTTTTTTTGTCCAGCATTATGTAAAGTAAGGTCTAGCGTAGCACATAATAGTGGCTGAATTCAGCTCACTTTATTCTACTGTCGTAAGACGTACGTTTTTTTGCACGGACCATACGTTATAAAAATTCTGTTATCTTCTGTTTGAGATAGCGGTTGCATTCCCATAGCATCGATATATATAAACTGATCAGACAAGATACTATCTTGTCTAGTGAAAAGAATGAATACATAGAAAACGGATGTGATGTTTAACTGTAAGAACTAGAGATGCCTGTTAATAGGCTTTAGAAACAATGGCAGAGTCATTACTTTACACATGCAGATCCTATTTTTGTCTGGCGTAGAATTTGCTAAACATTCTTATACTTTTATCTTACTATTTATGTTTGCTTAAGAAAACGGACAAACTTGACACACGCAGATGGTTGGCCTAACAATCTTTCACGTTTCCTACCATTAAGTCGTGTGTCCTACCAAGCTAAGCTTAGTAGGTACTTATATAATAACCCAACTGCGTAAACGATCAGTATCCGAATGCCGATTGTCTACGCCGACAAGCCAAATTAAAAAAAATGGCGTATCACAATGTCGAGCTTGGTCAGTATAGTTGGTTGACCGCTTGAGAATGTCAGGTGTTGTAAACTTGGATGTGCAGGTGGTGTAATTGATAATCACTCGGAAATGTTAATCGAAGGACCGAGTTCCAATTTCCGTTAGGTTCGTTGTATTTAATTACACACAGATACCCCTGTATTTTTTAACGTCAAAGAACGACATTATTACGTCATTATTTTTGCACCAACCTAATATCACAAAAAGGAATCTTAAAGTCTAAAATATTTCCTGGCTTTAAGCAACTGCAAAGAGTTGATAAACCGTAAAAAACGAATCAATCTGTTTAACCCTATTTTCTTGGAGTAGTCTTCAGAAGGTAAATTTTAGATATTAGCTAGTTCCGTGCCGAGATAAAAGTCAGAATTTCAAGTCTTAATTTTCTAAGGCAAGGAATTAAATTTTTAAGGCTTATCAACCCTTTGTGAGTTATTTAAAGCATAAACATTTTGTGTTACAAGAGATGACTCACGGTATCCTGTATTCTGAAGAAGCAGGGAAACAGACGCTTTGAGGTCGTAAGAGATTGATGCAAATCGATCTTTCTACCGGCAGCTACTCCTTACAGTTTGGCTTTCTAAGATACTTGTTAAAATTGAAAACACATTATAAGACCCACATATATAGGACAAACTGAAGGGCACAGATATCCAGACATCAATAAAGATTGAATACAGACTGGAGGTTGCAATAAAAAGCTTTCAGTTAGATCAACGTGTCTTTCCAAATTTGGCCCGTCTTGGGTATGATGATAAACTACATTACGCGTCCTCGGTAAAACGATAAACTACGTCCAACAGCAAGGCCTTTGATCAAGAGGTGTTGAGGAGCATAAAGCCACCTCTTAATTGCTGGTGTTCTCAGGTTTATCCAGACTTAGGGTGATAGCACCTGTTAGGGTCCCACCTATGGGCAAATTGTTAATTCCCAAACTGGGGTCAAAACACTATGAAAATGCAAAAATAGGTTTTAATACTAGAAATAATTTCAGTATCTCTCTATATTTCTGAGATGAGGTATAATGTACATTATTTACATTATTCGGACTATTGTCCTCATCTTTGTCGCCACAAACATGGCACAGTGGATAAAGGCGTTGATTAGATCCAGTGGCAGGACCCAAAGAGTGTGAGTTCAATACCCGGTTAAGGCAGTGGAGAAATTTCAGAGGGAAATTAACAGGAGATAACTGATGACTGACATCCATTAAACATGGCACGTGGAACTAGAACAGTCTACCCCAGTGAGCGAAATAAATGGTAGAGTTCAATATTCCAACCACCAGAAGAAGGCTGGAGAGTACAACGGTCGAAACGTTGTAATAAAAAATATGGCGACAAAGATGAGGACAATAGTCTAAATAATGTAGAAATACTTTGTAAATATTATTACCAGCAATAAATTTTTGTAGGAAAAAATATTACCAACAAGAGATTTTTTTGGAAAAAAATATATTATCAGACATTAAAAATTTGTCGGCATTAAATAACCCATTGAGGTTGATATGCCGTAAAACAAAACAAACCAAATTTAGGAAGAAGAGTCGAACTAATAAATATCATTCAATGACCCATTATGTATCAAAACTTCGCTGTAGAAATTTCCTCAATATTAATAAATTAGGCATCGAAGTAAAAAATAAATAAATAAAATAAAACAGTGAAAGACATTTTCTTTCGTTCGCTTTTGTACTAATTCCCGTGTGAAAGGCTTCAAACAATTTCTTCCCTCCAGCCATGTAGAAAATTATTGGGATCTCTAGAAGTGGATAGGGGTTAGTTTAGGAGAACTTAGAATTCAAGGCCGTGAAAATGACAACAGTAAACCAATCCACGGCATTTAAAAAAAAAAGGAATAAACTATTTTGTCGGTGCCGGTAAAATAAACAAAGCTACTTTGCCATTAATGTTTTAGAAATAATATATTTGAGATCGTCAGCGCAGCGATTGAGAGAGCTGTATTTAGACGACTTTAATGGATTCTGTATCTGTCTATATTTCTAAGATGAGGTATTATGTACATTATTTACATTATTCGGACTATTGTCCTCATGTTTGTCGCTATATTCATTACAACGTTTCAGCCGAAGAAGAAGACCGGAGCGTACAACGGCCGAAACGTTGTAATAAATATGGCGACAAAGATGAAGACAATAGTCCGAATAATATAAATAATGGATCCTGTAGTCTGCGACTTGTCTTCAGTGGGTGCGCCTGGAATGTATTGGCAAGAGAATAATGCCCAAGAGTAAGTCTTGGATTTACAGAGACTTATGCATGAAGTGCTTAAAATATTCAGAGACTTCTATATTCCTTTTAATAATTGATGATGAAAAACTAATTTAAACTTGTGTTTAACAATTCATCGTAATCTTAATGGTGAAAGTAAGCTTCTATGTTAAATCAGTGTTGTTCTTAACATTACCTGCCAACATAATTATAATATATACTGGTAAAATCACCTCTACCTTAAAAATAACGCAATAGCAATTCACAGATATACTGAAGAAAAGAGATGCGGAAAGAGGTTATCGCCTATGAAAGATAATGGTATAAAAATATTAATACTCCATTTAAAATATTAATGACGCATTTTCAAGACTCCAATTTTCTTCCCCTAAAAATTATATCTTTATTAATCATACATTAAGAAACAATAAATGAATCGTAAATATTACAGACCTTTTTTCATGAGCGTCGCCATTGTAAAAATCATTGGATGTAGTTTATTCGATGTTGTTCAAATCCTATTTGTAAGTCGCAAGTAAAAATATCGCCACCTTGTAAAAACGTAAAATTAGAATCTTACTTATTATAAAACGCAGATTGTGTGTGTGTGCATGTTCTGTAACGTTTATATGTTGGATCGAATTTCCTACATTTTTTAGCCGATTTCAACAAAACTTCATAGGACTACATAAAATTAACTTGTGGTGGTTCTAACGGGGCCGAAAATGGGAAAACACAGTTGTTTTTTAATAAAATCAATTTGAAAACACGATTAAGACACATCGTGAGAATGAAAGGGGACAACTCACCCACGAAAATGTAAACAAAAGAGCATAGCATGTTGAAAAAAGACGCCGAACTTGACGAAAACAAAATTTTATCGTCTAATGTTCATATTATTATTAAAAGAGGAAAGATCAAAAGTATTTTTGGGGGGTATTTTTTTACATTTTTTAATCATTCCTAGCACGTCTGAAATTTTTGTTAAAAAATATTGTTTTTTTGGTAAAAAAAAGGGCAGATAATCAATCATTTTCAATCATTTTTTTCGATTTGATAAAAAAGATTAAAATCTTAATTTAATATTCTTTTAAAAATCAATTATCATTTTTTTAAAACTGATTTTAATAAAAACAGAAATTATACTGTTTATTTAAAATATTTTGAACCAAGCACAACTTAGCTTCTGCGCCGAAAAAAATGTAATTTGAAAATAAAACAAAGCAGGTCATAACCTTTCGCGTCGCTTGACGATTGACGAAAGGCACATTCATGACGTTTAGATAACTTACGGGAGGAGAATTCTTTCTACGGATGGAAGGAAGTGAAATTATTTAAGTGAACAAATTATTTACCTTGTTACTTTTA